TACGTATGCAGTGCCAATAGTAAAAGTACGACAGTCAGCATAGGTCCAATAAAATAAAAATAAATAGCAAAACTTTTAATATTTGTTGGAAAACATCGTTTGATGAGTGTGGTGTCGGAGGCCTAATTTTCTTATAAGGAGAGGTTGGGAAGGGGAAGTGGATTTGACAGTGGAGGAGATGCATAGGAAGGAGAAATATCCTCTTTATGTGCGTCTCCTCCTCCGTCGTATAAGGGTAGGCAACGCATCTGCAATTGCGGATGTCTATGGGAAGCGGTTGCTTCGCCATTTTGGCGATTTCAGGTAGCCGCTTGCTCGTTTGCCACCTTATGTAATGAAAAAAAAATCAGGTGTTAGTGTAAACTTACAAACTAGTGTTAGTAGAAAATTAACATAATTAATTTAAATTAAAACAAACTGACATTTTAGTCCCATCTGTCCATCAGCGCACTCAGGATGCTGTTAGGGCTGCGGCGCACTCGCTTCCTCATGATGGCTTCAAACCCATCCGTTCGAGCGTCCGCAAACATAGCAGAGGTGCTGCAGTAACGCGGCAACCTCATCAACATCCTGAATGCGTTGTTGTACTGTACACGTAGGTCGCTGTATATCCTCTGCGTGTAGTCAACCCATAGACCGCACGCATAAAAACTGGCAATATGCTTTAAAAAGTGTCAACTTTACGTTATTTGTATATTTAGCGAATCTACGGGCCAACATATTACAGGGCATACAACATAATTGGCTACTTTTTTCAAATTCAGCTGTCAAAATAGCGACCGAACCGCTATCTCTTGGACCGATTTTAACGGAGCTTTGGAAGATAGCTTGTCGAACGTAGGTAGAAAGGCGGTAATGCTAGATATTATTTTTTTTTAGTCGTGCTAACATTTGTGGATAACAGCTCTTTTAAAATGACATCAACTCAGGAGTTATATTTATCAGTAAGATTTAATAAAACAAAGTTTATGTACAAAATAATTTATTAAAAAGTCATTATAAATGCAAGCATAAAGCACATCGTAGATATCAGCAAATTAATAGATAGGCTTCCAGTCAGCGCTGCATGTGGGGCAGCACCCAGCCCAGCGGCAGAGCACTCCCACCACTACACACTAACTTGTCCCACTCACACCTGAAAATACAATAAAATATACAAATCTGGATAAACACAGGCTAAAAAAATGGTATTTATAATTTATGCAGTTATATGTATTTTATTTCCGCCATTTAGAAGCTGGAAACAGAAATATCACGCAAAAGTTATCATTTTCTAGATTCGCCTATCCATTTATACAGATCAGTGGATACAAAGAACATATTACAAAGTTTCGTTGCATAGTTTTTATCTAATAAAGGATTAACAGATTTTCGTTAATTTACTAGTGTTTTTAACTATATAGGTAGGCTGTAAACTCCCTCTGTGTAGACATAAGTCAATTATATCTTAAAGCCATTGCAAAGATACTTATATATTTTTAAAGTTATGGGTCAAGTAGTGGAACTTGGCACCTTCAGATCGATAATTTGTACCCTATTTGTTACCTAGATATTCTAGAAATTATAAAAAACAATTTAAAAACTAACATTACCTTATAGAAACGAATTTGTTAGCATCTCCTTTAAAGTTGACTTGAGGTAAACAGTCACCGAATAAAACTTCCCTCCAATTCTTTAAATTCTCCAACACTTTGGAATCAGTTTCTGATACATTTTCCTTGACATCGGAGCTCTCTTTCAATGTAACACGCAACTCTTTCTCCTCCTTTTCATACATCTCCAACTTTTTACACCAAAGTTGCTTTATTTTTTCTGAAAATAAACAAAACACGTTACTGAAACTCATCTCATCTCTCTCACATTCACTTCGAGAAAATAATGATAATGAATCAATTTTAGGTACATTTTTTAAAACTCTTAAATTACTGGAGTTTTCAATGTTGAAAAAGTGGTACCAAACGGCAACTATTCCAAATTTAACAAAAGAAGAATCACATAAATTTCAGAGTAATTGATGTAAATACATAAAAACCTTTTAAGAACCTCCATTCCAGTTGGTTAAATAATAAATTATACCACAAGTATTTTTTTAGTACAACCTGACAAATGACAACGGCCTCCGATATACACTAATATAAAAAGCATTACTCATAAACATCTTTCATCATAAACTTCCCCTTTTCGCTACGGAGGTTCAGCACAGTGCTGTTCTTCCATTCATTTCTATCAGCCGTCATATGTGAATCCACTCTCTTCTGCATATCCTCTTTCACACAATCCATACTTTCTTTGTTCTTCGCCCATAAACATCCGTATTCGCAGGTATACACTTACCTATATGTTCCTCGAATGTCACCGTCTCATTCTCTGCTACAGTCTCTCCCCTGCCCTTAACCGTGTTAGCACGGGCGCGGCGCAGGCGCAGCAACGCGTCTAGTTTGCCAATACTCTTCTTTGCATCAGTTTTCTTACGCATTACCTCTTTTAGGACACTATCTGTATGTAACTTGGCTTCGGTTTCCTGTGATTAAATAAAATTAATATATCTTTACATATATTTTTATTTCTTATTCTCAATATAATACATTTTACAAGATTTGTATAAAAATAAAATAAAACATATATAAAAAATAGAGCACCACCGGCTGCGGAATCCGATGACTCAAGCAAACAGTGGTCAGAGCTGCAGAGACAGGAACCTCCTAATTATGCGTGCGGTTATTATTCACTATTCTTACTATTATTATAAATGCGAAACTTAAGATAGATGGATGTTTGTTATTTATATACAACTTCTCAACAGATTTCACTGCTCTTTGACTAATTAGGGTGTATTTAATTTCAGTTCAAAAACTAAAAGATTTATTAACTAAGACTAGATGTATTTACAATTAAATCAAATTATTAAACATACCTGTTTAGATTTCTCAATGTCATCTTGAATTTTCTTTAAGTTTTCATCTATTTTTCTTGATCTCTCCTCCATTTGCTTCACTCTTTCTTTCTTAGCACGACTCCTTTCTAATTTCACTCTCTTCATTCGTAATCTCTTCGCAGCCCGTTTTGCTAAAAGCTTTCTAACATTATCGAGATCACCAATGTTTAAAATTCTTATTATATTTGCTTTTTTATCTTCGATATCTTTCATATGTGAATCCCAATCAGTATCTGACATGGTACGAATATTCTCTCGTAACTTACTTTCTACCTCTTTAATTTCATCAAGAGACTTTATTAGGTTAGTTATTTTTCCACGTACAGTAGATATGGAGTCAGTTTTAGGATTTTCAACATTACTCTTTGTGATATAAGATTCGAAGGATTTGACAAAATCTTGGTCAGAAGTTGGAGGTGGAGGTGGAGGTATGTATATGGGACAAGGTGGTGGGACAGTGAATAAAGGTGGAGGGGCAGCATTGCCGTGGAATGTAAAACTACTTGGAAAATCATTATAAAGATTATTAGACATGATTAAGTGATTAATATCTAGAAATAAGTGATGTTATGCCGACTCAGGGAGTTGGTTTTCTGCCTCTTTAAGCACTTGCTCTGCGGTAATATAATCTTCGTTTTCTTTCAAGTCTTGTTCGCTTTCTAATATTGACTTCAAATCTGCATGTGCTTTTAATAATCTGTAGAAATTAATGAAATTTATACATTTACTAGGACAATCAATTTACGACATTAATTAGCTATATTTGAGCACTTGAAAGCTTTTTAGTAAGATTAGTACACGAAATACGCCTTTAAAGACTGAAAACAAAGAATATCAAAGGACATGACTCATCTGTATGCAAAAGAATTATTTTATTGTTTAAATGGATTATAAGTGAAATTATTCATCACCATCATCATAAGCACCACTTTGGTAATGTCATTTTTAAGTTACTACACCATTACTATATAAAAATAATGCCGAAATTCTACATAACCTAAAAAGCAGATGTTATCAAAAACTTGATTTTTTACAGTAAATACGATTGGAATTTACTTTGTGGTAATTTGTGTGCCATTGTAAAGATGTAAATAGTTGTTGTATAGTTAACATACCTTCGTTGACAATCAGGTACCATCATCAGCGATTCCTGAAGTACTTCTTCTTGCTTCCTTATATCGTGTTCGTCTTGGCCTTCGTCCTTCAATTTTTGTACCTTATTCTTTTGTTGTTCAGCCTCTTTTTCGTACAAACTCTTTTCTTTAGCTATACGCTTGACGACGCCAGTTTTGATTTTGATTTGTCTAATTCTGGGATCTGCCATTATAAAAAACTGATCAACGATTTTACACTCCCGCAGCGTTCACAAGTTACTTTTGTTTTTCTTAATGACGTTTTTTGACAGGATGACAGAAGGTAAACAAGCGTTAAGGTCAGTCACAGATCCAATAACAAAAATATTTTGTCGGTTATAATTAATGCTTATTTTTGATGCATAAAACGAATCGTAGCTGTGAAAAAGAACAAAAAGGCACTCGTATTCATTGATTTTTTTTTTATCGTTACAAAATGTATGGTCACATGAAAGCAAAAAGTATATCTTTTGTGTACTATGGAGTTCAGAGTTCTAACGAAACATCTAAACTATTTTGTTAATGGGCCATAAATACCACGTTCAGATTTTTTTAACAATCATCAATAGTAATCGTTGATAGTTTAAAAACAACCGTTAAATATACCGGTATATTTCTTAACAAATTAAACAAAACTGTTTAGTTGCTATCAAGTTATTTGATATTCGTTTTTTTGCACTTTTTAGTTCATTTTAATTGACCAATAGATGTCGCAGCAACACATTTAAATCAAGCAGTAGTGGCTAAAGTTTTCTGCTCGACATTGAGATATAAACTACACTTTGAAATGATAACGAAAACGGTAAGTACTTATTTCGAGTTGTTTTTGTAAAGATAAGTACATAACGTATAGTGTATTTTCGGCAATTGAGAAATTTTCCCAAATATATACAGGGGGTTAATAAATAGTAAATTAAAAGTAATAAAATTAAAGTTAAAGCCACGTAATCTATATCTATACTAATATTATATAAAGGAAAAAATTGTACACGCATAAAATATTAGGTCAATTTTAAATTTAGAAAGGTAATTTATCTGAGTAACATTGGCTATGTTTTGTATTAATTTTTAATTTCACGCTGGTGAAGTCGCGATCAAAAGCTAGTTTGTTAAAATATTTTAATTAAAAGCACAACTCTTAAAAAGTACATATAAAGATCACACGAAACCCTTTATTTAAATTTTTATATATCGTTCTTGTTTCCAACACCAAAATACACAAATTGAATTGGTAGTTTAGTTTTTATTATGTAAATTAATGATGTAATTTAAAACATCCGATAGAAGCCAGCGGGGGATTTGCGATGTATCTGACATTATCCGTACACTCTCAGAGGATCGATGATAACTCTGATATGAGAATATTAATAAATAGTCGCGTCTTATTGTATTATCTGTGAGTGTGCACTGTGCGTCCGTTATGCAGTGGCTGTTATTTTTAACAGGTAATAACGGTCTAATACAATACGATAACATTGTCTACAATGAGACCTAACTATTTTTATTTCTGATTTAATATTCGTGGAATATTTCTATCTAGATTACGACTTATCTTAATTTCTTAACTTGACCTATTTATTGATATGCAATGACGTCGTAAATATGCAGTTATGTTTGCAGTAGTTTTTGATACAAAACAAGTAAGAAAAGTTTCAAAATTCACACACATATTTTTTTGGAGATTCTGACCGGATGATTTAGATAAAAAAATATCTTCAAATTGATAATAACGCCATCTAGTTAAAATAAAAAATGTTAAACGAAAATTTATTATTTCGATTTATTTTATATACTTAATTTACAACGGGATTGTTACCGATGTTGATTAGTTATTAAGTGAAAAAAAGTAGTTATTCAATTTAACTTTGTTGGTTCGTTTGTTCAGGGGCAGCCCTGGTGCTGGCCGCACCCCAGAAGGAACACAACCGGGGTATGTCGATAACCCAGGACGAGGAGGGTGGCTACTCATTTACTGTCACACGTGGTATGTTCACAGATAACGAATGAAATTCCCCAAACGTTCCCAAGGTCGAGGGTTAACAGGAGACTAGCAAATATTAGTATAATATTTGCTTATACTCAGTTTATTCCTAACTTTATACAGCGTTTATTTGTAAGGCTGTTGGAGTTTAACGAAATGCGTATGATTTTCAAACTTGTGCTAGAAAAAAGTTAATAAATCATTTCTAGCTAACTCCAGTCATCTGGTTTCTAAGAATTTTGTTGTATTTTTTTTTTCGTTATAAACAGTTTATAAACAGCGGTAACGCTATGTTGTGGCATTTTAAACATTGAAGTTATTCATTAAGATCAAATTAACAATATTTAGACCATTTAAACTGTCCAATTTCACATTTCAACAGCCAATGTTGAGAGGAAACTAGGTCAGCTAGGTCGCAGGAGCTCGGCTGAGGACAGCGACGTCACATTCGAATTGACCACATTTTACGACGAGGAGAGCGGAGGCACGCGCGTCTCCGTCACCTGGGATGGACCTTCAGACAGGGTTTTCGAAGATTGCTTTGATTTCGGTTAGTACATTACAACGAATTAACAAAGTATGCTAATTTTTTTGTTACTAGCTGTTGCTCGCGACTTTAATCAGGTAAAATTGAAAAATCTAGTCTATGTTACTGCCTGATAAATTAGCTTTTTAATGGTGAAGGATTTTTTGAAATCCCAACAGTTTTAAAGTTATTTCAATACATACAAATATACAAATATTTCCTTTTTAGTATATTAGGATATATTGAGAAAGGAGTGAATTCAGATATGACGGCTGATAGAGATTTATGGAAGAGCAGCACATACTGTGCCGACCCTCCGTAAGGGATAAGGGCAGGTGGATGATGAGGATATATTGAAAGCAAGAGATACAATAGAAGATAACTGAAATATATGTTCACATCAATAATGTACACGCAGAGATAGAAAACGGAAAAATTATTTTTGCCACATATTGAGACGTAAACAAGCGCTAGCAACTTGTTCAAATTCTTTGATGGAACCTTTTGATCTCATTTAATCTTATCACGATTAGGTGTTTGGATGTTGTTTTTGCCGTTTATTATAATCTTAAATGTTACCTAACTTCCTCGACTCTTAGTTAACATTGTTAGATCTAAAATGTGACATAATCTTATCTGAAAACTGAAATTCTCCGCGTTTTTAGATAAAAATATCGATAAAACCTTAGTAATGGAAAATCCAAATAATACTTAAACCCTAAAAATATCTAATTCGTCTAACTGAATCTTTTCATTTAACCAATAGGTGACCAGCAATGGTACGGTGGTCCGGAACAGAAAGACCAGCAATGGCCCATCCAGAAATCGAAGATCCAGAAATACTCTATCATATCTAAGGAGGCCGACAACTCAGCCATTTCCGAGAGATACTGGCTGAACTCCGACGGTCTGTACATCTACGTCCATCCTGAGGTGCCTCTCTTCGTCGACCATCACAACATCCTTGAAAACCACCTCTGCTTTATCGCGGAAGTCGCCGACCCTTACTCCACTAAAAGAAGTCACAATGTCCTCAAATACGACATCTGGCAGTTCGATGACCCTAAAACCGCACATATGCACGCCGTTAAAACTTACCTCGGCAAACCATCAGGTATCCCGGATTACAGAATGATCCAATACCCAGTATGGTCGACTTGGGCGCGGTATTCTCGGGAAATCGACCAGAACAGTCTCTGGGAGTTCGCCAATGAGATCGCGGATACAGGATTCCCTAACGCACAGTTCGAAATCGACGATTTATGGGAAATCTGCTACGGTTCCCTCACTGTTGATGAAAGGAAGTTACCTGACTTTAAAAAATTAATTCAAGACATCAAAGGTCTCGGCTTCAGGGTCACTATTTGGGTCCATCCATTTATTAACAAAGACTGTGAACCTTGGTATAGTGATGCTTTAGATAAAGGGTTAGTTTTATTTTCTTTATTACAAATATTTAATACTAGTTCGCGACTTCGTACGAGCGGTATTAGAAAACATACGAACTATAAATCTACATATCCCGCGGGAATATGACTTTTTCAAGGATGAACCATATCCCTTGTGTTAATCTGACTTGGTTTTTCAATAAGATATGTTGAACCTTTGCAGAATTATAGAATAAACAAAGAAAACCAAAGTAATGCATTCTTCTAACCATATTTATTTCCGGTTTTAGAAGTAGCCTATGTGTTCTTCCACTATCGTCATAGATGCCAAATTCCATTGATATCCGTTCAGCAGTAGGCTATGAACTCTAGTAAATATCTGTCCATCTAAAATATCGTATTTATAATATTAGTAAAATTAATAGGTAGGCTAGCATTAGTAGGAGAACATTAATACTAGTTATGTATTTCTCTTGCTAGATATCTCGTCCTCAATGAAGACGGCAGTCCAGATTCCTCGTGGTGGAACAACAACGGCTCTTTGCCAGGTTACATCGACTTCACCAACCCCGAGGCCGCGGAGTGGTACTCCTCCAGGATCAAGAACCTCATCGAGACTTACGACATCGACAGTTTGAAGTTTGACGCTGGAGAGTCCAGCTGGTCTCCGCAGGTAGGTAACAATTGGACCTTTGACTAAAACTATCGCACAACTGTTATCGCTTTGATTCTAGAAGCTTATATGGAGGTTACACTACTCGATTGTTAGGTGTGCAACTAAATAGTTGAATTAACTACTAAAATATCGCACTACAGTTGTGCGATAGTTGGTGTGTGTGTGAATAAGGTGTGCTTTGTAAGAACGAAGAGAAAGAATCTAAGAAGATGAGTCAAGATTATATAGGTTTTTAATTAAAAGTGCAGAAATCGTCTCGCAGAAGACAAAGAAACAGCGTAAAGTAGAGGAATCTTATGTCTGAAATCTGTTTTCTTCTAGATACCAGTACAGAACGGGGACATCGACCTGCACCCGGGACACATCGTGCGGGACTACGTCAGGACAGTCGCAGAATTCGGCCCCATGATCGAGATCCGCGCTGGAATGCGGTAAGATATACTGAATTTAACAATCAATCGAATAATTTAATGACATTTTCTAGAAGATGCTGTAAAACTGCTTCGTCTTCATCACCACTTTGCATTCTTACTCAGGGGCTTGGAGCCTATTACAAGTCAGTGATTAGGCCAGGGAGGGGAAACCACAAAAATTAATATTTTGGGAACTTCGATAATCATAAAAACAGTACGGAAAAGTATGGAAATCAGAAATCAAATTGGTACAGCGAGATTCCAACCCGGGACCGCTCGCTTTTTAATCTGTTTATTGCCCCCAGGACCCAAGATCTGCCAGTGTTCGTACGCATGGTGGACAAGGACACGCTGTGGGGCTTCGACAACGGCCTGGCCACGCTGGTCACCACACTCCTCGCCATGAACCTGAACGGCTACTCGCTGGTGCTGCCCGACATGATCGGCGGCAACGGGTACAACGAGAAGCCCAGCAAGGAGCTGTTCATCCGCTGGCTGCAGGCCAACGTCTTCATGCCGACGCTGCAGTACTCCTTCGTGCCCTGGGACCACGACAATGAGGTGCGGGAGGAACCTGAACATGTTTTGACAATGAAAACGGGACCTTATTATTTATGTCATAAGGTGACAAACGAGGAAATGGTCACCTAAATTTACTGAAACGTAAATACAGATAGTTGACTTTAATCGACAGAGGAAGGGATGCTAGAAAGAAAATATTTCCCTTTCCTTTCCTTCTCCTCCTGATAATGGCCTTCTTTGGTTAATCTACTTCTTCACCTCCTTTTCTTATACGAAAAAAGTAATGAAGATAAACGAGTTTGATGATTTTATGGTTTTCTACTACTAATATTATAAAGAGGAAAGATTTGTATTTTTGTATGTATTGAAATAACTAAAATATTACTGGGTCAATTTCTAAAATTCTTTCACTATTAGAAAGCTACGTTATCGCTTAGTAACATAGGCTATATTTTTACGTGGCTGAAGCCGCGAGCAACAACTAGTTTTAAATTGGATCAATTGAGTGCTTCTAAAGGCTAAATTAACGAGCAATCTATATCTATACTATTATAAAGAGGAAAGATTTGCATTTTTGTATGTGTTGATATAACTCAAAAACTACTGGGTCGAATTAAAAAGTTCTTTCACCATTAGGAAGGTAATTTATCTGTGAGTAACATTGGCTTTACTTATTTTAATGAATGTGACGTGAACAGTCGCGAGCAAGAACTACAATTTTGCAAACGTGTGTGTCAGACGGTGGAGATCTGCCGGCGCTACACGCAGCTGCACGCGCAGTTCGCGGACGAGATCGCGGCG